AAATAAAAAAAAATCTCCAGCTGCCCAACAGGAGAAAATAAACCCAGGAGAAGTAAACACCGAAGAGAACAAGCACAGTAACCATCCACTACTTGACACAGCATCAGCTGAAATTAAAAAGTACCTACATGATCTCATAGAGGAATTTAAAGCTGTACTCCTGATCCAAGTGAGGCAAGATATAAAGAGACTAATTAAAGAAATGACAAGCCCTGCCCAAGAGAACACAGATGGAAGAACTGAGGAAATCAGAAAAGAAAGAGAAGCATCTGAAGAAGAATTTAAGCGTAACCTAGAATACATGAAACAGATCCAAAGAGAAAATCAGGAAACTAAAAACTCCATTGAACATTGGCAAAATGCCTTGACAGAAACTAAAGATAGCCTTCTGAAACTTGAAGAAAGATTTAGGACATATGAACGTGAAAGAAAAAGCCTCTTAAAAATAACAAGGAACCAGAAAGAAGCAATTCTAAAACTGGAAGATGACAAAAAGATACATAACCTAAGAATAAAGAATGTGAGTGAGGAAGCAGGAACATCCAAAAATGAAATACAAAAAATATTCACAGAGATATTAAAGCAAAATTTCCCATGTATAGCAAAAAGAAATGATATCCAGATAAAAGAAGCATACAGAACACCAGCTACCTACAACCAAAACAGATCTACGCCTAGACATATAATAATCGAGGTCCCAGAAATCCACCAAAAAAACAGAATATTAAAAGCAGCCAGAGAAAAGATGCAGGTTACCTATAATGGGAAATCTATCAAAATAACAGCAGACTTATCAACACAAACTCTTAAGTCAAGAAGGGAGTGGGGAGAAATATTCCAAGTCCTGAAAGAAAAAAATATGCAACCAAAGTTCATATATCCATCAAAACTCTCTCTAAAAATTAATGAAGAAATAAGATACTTTCAAGACAAGGAGGAACTGTGGGAGTTCGTGACCACCAATCCAACCCTACAGAGAGCGCTGAAGGACATTACAGAGAAAGAGAGGAAGAGATATCAGGATTCCAGCAACAGTGGCAGAGAGGCCTCAGTGTACGGGGCAGACCATGGAATGAGGGAATAAGGTGGACAAATTATAGCAGAAAAGTGTAGTAGCAGACATGAGGCAGAGACGGTAAGCTAGTCTTTAGTATAGACAGCTCTGAAACTATATTTTAAAAAAAAAAAAAGCAGAGGTCATGGCTAATGGTGTATAATGATTTAAAAGACACAGTAGCCCTAGTGCCATATTTAGATTGAATTTAATTTGTTCTGGTCTGTCCGCTCACGTCAGATTTGAGGACACAGACATCTTGACTCAAAAATAGCAGGCTATACCATGGTAACTATCCTTACTTTCCTATTAACTTAAACTGAAATCCTATAATACTTACATTGTCTTACTATTACTGATCTTAATTGAATCTGAATCGTAAGACTATGGGTTGGCCATGGCTGATTTTATTTGAAAATGGTATGCTTGTCAGTATCAACCCTAAAAGTAGAGGCAACTACTCTGAGGATGACAAGTTGTAAAGAATATCCATACTGGTATTAATTAGTAACAGCTTCCAAACCCTACAATGCTGCCAAAGTTAAGTTTTTATAAAAATAGGTGATACTATATTTAACTATAATAAGCCAGTGTGGTGGTCAAATCTATTGAAAATAACAAGAGGAAACATAGTAACTATGGAAGATCATCTATATTGTGGTCTTAAATGTTTTATCCATTGCATGTTTTTCTAGGAAATTGTTTTGCTGGCTTGCTATGACTTGGTATTCCCTATAACACAGAGAGGATATATATATATGTGGAAATTCACACATGGGTTCTTTTTTTCTTTTTAATTATTTATGGGAACAGATTATATAATGTAAGATGTAATGAACAGATACTCAGAGGAAGAGACACTAAGAAACCCGAGGCTAATTTAGTAGCATTATGATAGAAATTCTAGCAATACTGTTTGCTGATTAGAATGACATTGGACTGGTTTCTTGAGTTCAATTTCAGCATATGTAGAGATGGGGACAGCTATCACAAAGAGAAGGCGAGATGAGTTGGTAGTTACTATTGTCTTCCCTAATTTGGTACTTGAGGACCTAAAAAGTCTTCAATGATTTGATTAGTTCTATAATATACACTAAGTATATAAGGTGGATGAAGATGGGGACAACTATTTGTAAAAAACTAGAGACAGTTAGATAGACAATCAAGATCTCCAGTGGGCTTCCTACGAAATCTGTATTTCTTTAAATTGTTTTTTTAACTGCTATGTTCTGTTTTGATATGTTTAATCTTACCCTCTTTGAGAAGTAAAACAAATGTGTAGGACTGATAACCATGTTACTGAGCTCTTGTTCGATCATAGAGCAGAAGGGTTTGTAGTGTCACTTTATGAATGTCATTCTAAATGCTTTAATTCCATAACATGAACAGCTACTTCTAAGATGACAATGTGTAACTTATCAACCAGTAATTTCTTACCGTTTGTTTTTCTGTAAGTTTGTATCATTTCTACCCTTTTTAAAAATCTCCATGTATTCTTTTGTTTCCTTTTCTTTAAATAAAAAATTTTAAAAAATGTGGTACTTTATGATAGAATATTACTCAGCAATGAAAAAGGATGATCTTGAAGTCTTTATAAGTAAATGGAGGCAACTTGAGATTATCCTCATAACTGAAATAAATCACTCACATTTGTAACTATAGTCTCTCTAGTGTAAGAAATAAAAAACGGAAAGAGTAATAAGATCTAAAATATGATATTGTAATAATAAAAAGAAAGTGTTGAAAAAGAAAGAACAACTTGTATGTGTACATATGCAACTGTATATTTAAATGTGCCGGATAGATAACCATTCTACGAAGTTTTTGTTCATGAAACAATAGTTTGTGCTCTCATTGTTTGTTAATTTTTTATGCTTTGATTTTATAACTTGAACTACTAAGATAACAATATGTAATATATTAACTAGTAATGATTTATTATGCTTTTGAGATTCTGCTTCATTTCTACACTTGTTTTGTTTTTCAAAAAATTTTAAAATTTTTTTGGCTGGCTGTTGGTTTATCAGAGATAGCTTTTATCAGATTGAAGTAAAGGCCATCTGATTTACTCTATGGTTTTTACCATGAATGAGTGTTGAATTTTAATCCAACATTTTTTTTTTTGCATTTGTTGAGATGATCATGTGATTTTTGCTTTATTTTGTTGATATAGTTTATTACACCTATTGATTTGCATATGTTGACCTTTCCTGCATTCCTGGGATGAATCACCCTTATTCTTAACATATAACTTCTTTGTGATTTGCTTTCTACATGTTAATGTTTTATTGAGGATTTTTCCTAAGTATGTTTTTAGGGAGACTAGTTGATAGTTTTGTTTTGTTTTGTTTTGTATTTTTACCGGTACCAGGGATCAAACTCATGATCACATGCTTGCAAGGCAGGCGCTTATGCCGCTGAGCTAAATCCCCAGCCCTTTATAGTTCTTTTTTGGTCAAGTCTTTCTCTCGTTTTGGGATAAGGGTAATTCTTGCCTTCAGAAATGAGTTAGGGAGGATTGTCTCTTGCAATTTCATTAAAGAGGTAAAAGAGTACTGATGTTAAATCTTCACTTCATGTCTTGCCTAACCCTTCTGTGAATCCATCAGGACTTGAGCTTTTCTTTGTTGTTAAGTTTTTAATTATTTTTTAGTTCATTAACTGATATTGTGTTCATAATTTTTGTATCTTTTTTAGTTTTCATAGTTCATGTATTACAGGATTCTGTACATTTCTTCTGTGTTTACCATCCAATGAGAGCATAGATTTGCAAAGTAGGTGTTGATGATCTTCTGAATTTCCCCAAAATCTGTAGTGATTTCACTTTTTTCATTTTATATTGTATGAATTTGAGGGTTTTCCCCTCTTTTTGATAAGGTTGGCTGAAGGTATATGAAATTGATTTATTCTTTCAAAGAACCAACTTTTCATTAATTCTTTGTTTTCTTGGTCTCAAATGCATGAATTTTTGCTCTGATCTTTGTAATTTCCTCCCTTTTGGGGGCTTGACTTGCACTTCTTTTTCTAGAAGTTTCAGGTGTAGCATTAGGTTGTTTTATAAATTTTTTCCTCTTAGGACTACTTTCATGCATTCCACAGGTTTGGGTAAGTTGTACTTGCATTTTCTTTTTTATTTTTCTTTAAAAAGAAGTGCTTTACTTTAGGTGGTACCCAGTGACACAGCCTGCATTGGAGTCTGCAGAGCCGTATAACCAGGTTAGGTTACAGGGGTAATTGTAGATATTAATTTCTTCTTTAATTTCATCTGTGATCCACTGGTTGTTGTGGAGGGTGTTACTTCCATGTGTTTATGGAGTTTTTTTATTTCTTTTGTAATTAATTTCCAATTTTGTTGGACTATTGTCAGATGATATGTTTGGGTAATTTCAATTCCTTGGTGTTTCCCTAAGCATATTCTATGGGCAAGTACATAGCCTATTTTGGAGAATGTCCCATGTGAGTTGACAAGAATGTGTATTCTGATGCTGTTGGGTCGGACACTCTAAATGTACACTAAGTCCATTTGTTTGCGGGTTTGATCCAGTTCTATTTCTGAAAAATAGGACAATTAATGGTAGAAGAAGAGCCAGAAAGAAATGTTATCTTACAATAAACAACACAAACTATTTTAGGTTCTGAGAGAAAACAGATATAAGAAAATACTGTAGAGTTGTGCAGATAGTAAAATTATCCTTTGCAAATGAAAAAGAAACAACAAACTTTCAGATATAAGAAAATCAAGTTAGTAAGACCTTGTTTAAAAAAACAACTAAATCATGTTCTCTAAGCAAAAAATAATAGTTTGGAACTTCAAGAAAAGAAACCACCAAAATATGTAAAAATCTGGGCAAATATGACAGACAGGGTAGTTAACTCATCTTGAGTTCTAAACCAAACTGACTACTGAACATAATTTTAAAAATTATCAAATGTCATATTATGCTCATTATATTAAAAAAATAAATAGCATATATTTAAAAAGTAGAAATCAGAAAGGAAAGGCTTCCATTGTTCAGTCCAAGTGGTTACACATAGACAAAAAAATATTTCAAAACATGTTGGATATAACCACTGAGAAAATCAAACAAAGCTATATGTACAGCATGTAATGAGTTTGATCCCTGGTACTGATAAAAAGAGAAAAAAAATTAAGAAAACATTACAAATGACAAAAAAACAAAACATAAAAATAATAGAATTTCTGCTGTAAGTCCTTAAAAACTCAACTTTACCTTCAATGCCCTTGTCACTCAAAACTTGTAACAAACCAAATGTGGTGTTATACATTTGTAATCACAGCTTTCTGTGGAAAGCTGAGGCAGGAAGAGTATAAGTTTGGGCTTGGTATGGATAATTTTGCACTGTTTTACCTCAAAGGAAATGACAAAGGAAAAAGGTTTGGGATGTAACTTATAAAAAAACACCAATTCAATTAACAGTATTGAAATAGAACTAAAAAACTGCCAGAACAGATGACAAAACATGACTCAGTTAAATAATAATGTGTTTTAGGCATTATAATAAGGCAAAAAATAATGTGTTTTAATTGGAGAACAACAGTAGACTTAAAGCATGCTGAAATAAAAGAATACAACAGCAATATTGGATAATTATATCAAATATTTAAATAATTCACTCCAATTTTATATAAGCTTCTCAGAAGTTAAAATCTTTTCAAGTAGTATACAAGCCAACATAGTTCACTCTCTTCATTTATATGCAGTACACTATTGGCAATCCTTCCTTGCTAAATAGGGCAAGAAAAATAAATGAAGTATTATAGGAAAAGAAGATATCACACTGGACTTAAAAAGTGACATCACTGTATACATAAAAAGTTCACAAGAATTTCTGAAACTCCTTCAGAATACATGAATTTTTAAGGTCCTAAGAGACAAATCAAATCATTATTCTGTAAACTCAAAAGAAAATGAAAAGCTTTGTTTATAGTATCTGCACAAGACACAAAATGCTGAGAGAAATCAATACAAATAGATAAATGAAAAGACATTCTATACAACAGATGTTAGTTTAATAAATATGTAAATTTTCTTGACAATATAGCAAACACTGCAAGTATATTTTTCTATGTGTTGTATGTATTATGATGCTGGAACCTTGTCAGATACATATCAATATGTTACACAAATCATTAAATTCCCAATAAAATTTTCGTGTGAATAAAATTTTATTCTAAAATTTATATAGAAATACTATAAAGTACTTTTTAAAATTCTTTTAGGAAAAACTAAAAAAAAGTATTAATATATTAGTAGAGCCTATTATGTAATGATAGCAATCAAAATAGTGTATTGACATACAGACATATCTATCCTGATATAAATATACATAGTGTATAGCGTACAGATATAGAGTAGAATAGAAAATCTCTAAAAGAAATAACTAATACAAGTATCTCCCCCACCTTTTTCTTTTTCATTTTAAAGTGAAAGTGTAATCAAATACTGTTGTAGTTACTGGGCATCTACAGGGCAAAAAGTAGAAGGAATAAATGAATCTTTATATAAAGCTCAAAACTAAACTTTTTTTAAAATTTCTGTATTGTTTTTAAAATTAAAATCTAGCAGTTTCTTTTAAACTTAAATTATGCAACAATTACATTAATCAGTAATTGTCCATTTGGTTATTTATCTCAGACTAATTAAACATAACTACACAAAATCTGTACAGCTTTATTCATAATCACTTCAAACTATAAAGACAAATATCCTTCAATAAGTCTTAGTCCATTTGGGCTTCTGTAGCAAAAGACTATGAACAGAAGAAATATTTTTTATAGTTCTGGAGGTTGGAAGTCTACTTCAAGGCACAAGCAGGTTTATTTTCTGGTAAAGACCCCTTCTGACTCAAACAGCATGTGTTTTTTCTGGGTCCACAGATGGTAGAAGAGACAAAGTAAGGATTTAAGGGCTCATTTTTTAAACCACCAACTTCTTGATGAAACTATCTCTTACCAACCATCACTTGGGAATAAGGATCAACAATTAAGACTATAACAATGTCTAAATAAATAGTAATATATCTATATCTACAAATAGAAGTATTGATATATGACATAACTCAAGTAACATCTTGAGAGAACCGTATTTTGTGACAATAAGATGTAATAGACTATATATAACTCTTGCTTAAATGTCACAAAGTTTCTCTTATATAAGAAGCCCATAGTAAAATTAAACAGCAAAATAAAAAATATAGCTAATAGGAGGGAGAGAGACAGATCATGTTCAGCGGAAAAGAGGATCAAGAAAAGGAGCAAGGGGAAGGTAGGAAAAAAAGAAGGTAGGAAAAAATAAGTAACAAAATAAACTGGGATGTTACATATAAGCATCAACTGTACACAAAGAATATAAACATCATGTAATGTAAACATATACAGAAAAAACTTGATATCCTTGAAATAAAATTATAGGAACAAAGAACAAATCAATATGCAATCAGGGACCTGAGATAGGATTCGAGAATGGAACAGAGTTGGAAGTTTCTGGAAAAATTCTGTATAGATTGTATTGTCACTGATATTGAAATAACTTTTCATGGTACTTTTGCAAAATCCTGCCATTGTGAGAAAAGAAGTAGTGTGTATATAACATCTCATTATTTACTTCCTGGTATTTGTGACCAATTATGTGAAAATAATGTTTTTAGTACTTGAATTAAACCTACAGCCTTCACATGGAGCTGCATTAATTTCTCACATTGAGCTACACATTGATCTCTTATTTTAAGACAAGGTTTTGCTAAGTCACTAAATGGCTCATGTTGGGCTATTACTTGCATTTCTTCTTCCTCAGCTTCCACAGTGCTGGGAGACTACAGACTTGTATCATTATGTCCAGCTATGAAATAAACATTTAACCACAACAAATGTATAATATAATGTCCTAATAAGATATTAAATTGACAGTTACCATAATGTAAAAACCTCCTTGAACACAAATTGACTTCTAAGCATTTAGCATCTCCAGTTTACTATTGTACAAGGTGAAGTACCACTGACACTGGAGCCAGCCCAAGTTTGAATCTTCATTCTAATTTTTCATTCCTTTGATTCTATAGCCATAAGATGAAGATTCACTGCAAAGCTAAACAGGAAAATATATGGAAGATTCTTTGCATAGTACTTCTCACAAATACACAATAAAAAGTAGGTACAGTTAAATCATATTAAGAATCAAGCTAAAAATATATATTTGCAAAGCAAATCATCATCTGAAATAACATCAGTGTACAAAATGGACTACATAAGTGCAAAAGAAGTGTTGTTTCAAGTTGGTAATCTGAGAACATTAAGTTAATCTTATATTCCAATTATTCTGCAAAAATCCCACGAACCCTCCAAATTCAAACATTTTCCCAATCATAACACGCTCTACCACATGACTAAAACTATATCTCTAATGTCAAAGAAACTTTGTGTTAACTCAAAAAGATCTGTTTGTTTCTATTTAATGTGATATAGTCACTTTTTAAACATTCTATCTCTTCCTTTTTTCTCCCTTTATTATCAAATCCCATTTTTAAACTGATTTTGTAAGTGATACTTCATCTATTTTTCTATTTGCTTATTAGATTAACTACCATTCTTACATCATAAACACATATGTCCTTCTGATTTCTTCGAAACAAATTAAAACTTCTTACATTATTTTTCAGGTAAATTCTCATCTCTATGTTGTCCTTTCTGGATTTTGCTGTTTTCATAAAAACCCACCTCTCCACTGGGAAGATAATTAATGGGATATATGGGCTTTTTTTCCTTAAAGTTCTTCCTAATCTCTATCCACATTATTCCATCCCATATTATTTATGTTAAGCCCAAACCAATTTTTTCCCTTGAACTTGTATCTTTAGAAATATGCCCCTGGTATACTTGTAATAGAACAAATCTGTGTTCAACCAAACATTCTGCAAATTTTCAGACATGGTTTTGTTTAAAACTAATCAACAGCTCTATTACTAAATGTGAGACTATATGAAAATCTAACAAAACTAGAGTCACTAGATTCCAAGTCTTGTTATCTGTTGACTCTCCCAATGCTTTAGTCAGGCTAATCTTCTTTTTGAATATAAGTCTGAGTTAACAATTGTATGATCTAGTTGCATCAATCATCTATACTGGTTGTAACCTAACTAAAAGTGCCACCATTCTGTTGTAAGCCCCATTATCCTGACTTGTGTTTTAACTCTTGTTTCTTGTGAATTACACCCCTTCCAGAACAGCAATTTGGTCCCAGAACTGCCGTGGGTTGTAAAACATTTGCTGGCCACTAATTGCAAAACACTTGGTCCCGGGACTGACTGACTCTTGGTTGTAAAACAGTTTGCAGAGATTAACTCCTTTTTGGTATAAGCTCCCTCCCTCTTCTCTTCTTTGCAACTTTTCCTTTTATAACCCCCGCCCTTTGTAACAACCTGGTTACATAGCTCTGCAGATTCCAATGCAGGCTGTGTCACTGGCTACCAGCTAAAATAAAGCACTTTTTAAAAAAGATGTCTTGTCCCATTTTTTAAACATCTTAGGGCATTTTGGGGTACTACATTTGGGGTCTCATTCGGGACTATCTCAAGGGCCCCTCCCCAAATTATTCACTGATCAGCTTAACATCTGTAAGTATTTCATTTTAATTTTAGGTTTTTGCCCATTTGGGTGTGCACATTTGTAGTAGATGAACCCAGTGTTCTTTCTGCACCAGAGTGGGATGGCCTCTGGGGGCTTTTTACCCATTTGTAATTTGGGGGCTTTTTGCCCATTTGAATTTGTCTTTGTTACTAACTCTGGGGATTCTGCCCATTTGAATTTGTCTTTGGTTTCTGTTGCAGGCTCCATGTGGCTTACTGCACTCAAGGGTTATAATAAATATTGTTTCCCTTTAGGTCACCAGACTGTGGACAGAAAAGCCTTCGTGTGCATGTTCAGTGTTTCCTTTGTCTTTTGTGGTGCCTTGTTTTGTATTTTTGTTTTTGACTGGTTATTAATAACTATGGGCCAGGTACCATCAGTGTCTTTTTTCCTTTAACCCTGGTCCTTAATCATTTTGGAGATTTTAAGGATCCTGCCCCAGGGATACGGAGAACCCATAAATCCTGAGAGGCTCTGTATCTTCTGTGAACTTGAATAGCCCACCAGGGTTTCTAACTGGCCGCTGGCAGGTAGTTTCGGTTTGTCCACAGCTCAAGCTATCTGACAATATGTTTTCAGTCCCCCAGCCCACCTGGATCAAATTGTTTGGATTTGACCTCATTTATGACACCCCCTCCTGGCTTAAAAGATTTCTAAAGACTTCTGACCATCAACTTGGAAATCCTTTACTCCTGGCACCTCTAAAGGTGAAACCAAAAGCAGAGCTGCACCTGATTCTCCCTGCCAAAGAGCAAGAACTCCTGCTGCCACCCTAGCCCCAAAATCTTCATCTCCAGAACCAGAGCCCCATTCTCACCCTCCCAGCCCTATCCAAACCAGGAGTTATCAGCGTTTGAAACTGCCCGACTCCTCCACAACCCCCACCCTCCTTCCTCTATGGGAGATTCTTAACCCTAAAGATCCCTCTGCCCCAAAATTTACCTACGTTCCATTCACTACTTCTGATCTTTATAATTGGAGACAGCAGAACCCCCCTTTTTCAAAAGACCCTCAAGGTATTATTTCTCTTTTTCCACTCATTGTCCCACCTGTCAGCTGATTTTACAGGTTCTGTTTATAGCAGAAGAGAGAGAATGCATTCACACAACTTGGATGAATAGCATTGCATGATCCTGATGGAAACATCCTCTAATCCAGAGTACCAGAATGCTAATACAACTAAAGGAAAGGAAGCTCTTGATTGGAATCACCTGTTGTTTTTAGAAGCCCTTAAAGGCACCGCCAGACAATCACCAATTTGTCCAAGGTTTCAGAGGTAAGACAATTGGCTGAGTCTCCCTTGGGGTTTCTGGAAAGATTACAAGAGGCTTATTGCATTCATACACCCATAGACCCAGTAGTACCCAAAAATGCAAGGGCTACTAATATTGCCTTCGTAACCCAAACTGCCCAAGATACTAAGTGAAAGTTGCAAAAGCTTGAGGGATTTGAAGGAATGCCCCCCTAACCAGTTATTAGAGACTGCTCAAATGGTATTCGACAACTATGAAGATCTGAAAGATCAGAAGTTGCCTAAGCTATTAGAGGTACTGACTGAGAAAGTTACCAAGCCAGATGTGAAGCTTCATCCACCTCTATGGAAAAATCAATGTGCTTATTGTAAGGAAATGGGACATTGGTGAAGGGATTGTCCTAAGCTCCAAGTTAAACTAGAGAAGGATGCAAAGACTCTGTTGTTCCATGATTAGGAAAGTCAGGGCTCTCATGTTTCCCCCAGCCCACACTAACTTTGACTGTAGGGGCCAACCCATTGATTTCTTAGAGGACTCTGGAGCCTCTTGTTTGGTTCTAACCCGACCTATAGGAATCCCTAATGGAAGAAAATTAAAGGTATGAGGAGCCACCAGAATAGCAAAGGTTTATCCAAAGTTTCAAGTTCAGCTCACCAGGCAAGGGCAAAAGACCATTTCCCATGAATTCCTTTGGGTCCCAGAATGCCCATATCCCCTGTTGGGTAGAGACCTCTTGCATAAACTAAAAGTTCATCTCAGTTTTGAATCAGCCACATTAGCAGTGCAAATGGGGAATGGCTCACCTAAATTCCTTGAAACCAAGGTCTTTGTCCTTTGAGGCTCTATATGGGAGACCCCTCTCCCTTCATTCCTGAGGGCAAAAGACATTTATCATTAAAAAGTCCTAATGTTTTTAATGACAATGAGCTGTTACACCACTGAATATAGGAAATTCCTGGGGTTTGGGCAGAACATAGCCCTCCCAGTCTGGCAGTAAACTAAGTCCCTCTGGTGATAGAGCTTACACCCCAGGCCACCCCTATTTGGCTTAAGCAATATCCTATCAGTTTGCAGGCCTATCAAGCCATAGCCAAACATATATTGAGATTAAAAGAACATTGTATATTAAAACTTTGTGTCTTTCCCATGGAATATCCCCTTGCTGTCTGTTCAGAAGCCTGGGATCCAGGACTACTGATCAGTGCAGGATTTCAGAGAAGTAAACAAAAGAGTTGTAACTCTTTATGCCATTGTACACAACCCCACACTCTGCTGAGCCTGCTGAGCCCTGAGCAGACCTGGTACTCAGGTGTTGGACTTAAAGGTTCCTTTCTCTACCTTGCCTAATACTCCAGTAAGTCAACCCACCTTTGCCTTTGAATGGACAGACCCCTCCAGGAGTGTCAGAGCAGTTAACTTGGACATACTTGCCACAAGGTTTTAAAAATGTGTCAACTATTTTTGATGAAACCTTAGCTAGAGATCTCTTGGCTGCAGAGAGGACTATCCTGATGTAACATTCTTACAGTATGTCTAGGCTTTAACTTATTAATTTTGCAGAGATCATTCAGCCTCTTTATGATTCATTGAGAGGAGCCACGCAGGACCCTCTAGAGTAGTCAGACTCTCAAGACCAGGCTTTTAAATAGCTGAAAATGCCAGACCTGCAAAACGTTTTCCATATCGATGAGAGGTGAAGAGTAGCAAAAGGAGTACTGACCCAGAGTTTGGGACCATGGCAGAGGCCTGTTGCTTACCTTTCCAAGAGGCTTGATAGCATGGCAGCCAGATGGCCACCTTGTCTACAGGTGATTGTCTTGGTGGCTGTCCTGGTAAAGAAGCCTCCTGGTAAATTAACTGTTAGACAGAAATTCTTGTCTCCTCTTATTCACTGGAGACCCTCATCAAGGCTCCACCAAACCAGTGTCTGTCCAACTCCCAAGTCAGGCACTATCAGGCAGTACTTCTGGATCCAACTACTATCAGTTTTAAGAAGACAGCAGCTTTAAAGCCCATCAAGTAGGAGACTGATGATCCCATCATACAAGGAAATAATCTGACAGATGCTACTGCCCAAAAAGTGGCCTTAAAATCAGTGGGGAGTGAGGTGCCCCTGACATTCTCCCTGAGGCATTGGGATGTGAACTTATCCAACAGAATCATCGGTCCACTCACCTGGGAGGATCAAAACTTGCTGCCCACTTTCAAGATCGTTTCTGTATTCCCCAATTAACAAAGCTTACCCAGTCTGTGAGCCTCAGATGCCCCCAATGTCAACTGGTGAACCCAAAGCAACAGCAACAAATAGAAACCACTTGCTACCATGGGATTATGCCTGGAGAACACTGGGAAACAGATTTTACAGAGATGGGAAAACTTGGACTTCAAGAGTACAAGTACTTACTAGTAATGATTGATACTTTCACTGGATGGGTCAAAGCTTTTCCTACTAAGTCTGAATCAGCCCTGATAGTAGTTAAAACGCTCTTGCATGAGGTCATCCCTCAATTTGGACTCCCCTTATTCATGGGGCCCAAGTCTTGCAGATTGACTGGAAACTCCATTGTACTTACCAGCCTCAAAGTTCAGGACAAGTAGAAAGGATGAACCAGACTCTAAAAACAGTAATAACCAAAATGGCCTTAAAAACTGTTGAAAACGGGGTGAGTCTCTTTCCTTTTGACCTCTTGCATGTGCAATGTACCTCCTATGTTGCTGGTATTTACACTTTTGAGGCTCTATATGGGAGACCCCTCTCCCTTCATTCCTAAGATTTCTGAAGAAATGCTAGCTGATTTAGCTAACCAAGATTTTATTAAGTCCCTCCAGGCCATTCTGACTTCCATCCATCATTTATTCTGACAACATCCTCCACCTGCAGCCTATCCTGAGGCCAAATACCCTGCTGCAGAACCAGGAACACTGGTCCTCATCAAACGACATCACCAAGGGTCTCTCAAACCACAGTGGGAGGGTCCCTACATTGTGATCCTCAGCACTCCAACTGCCATCAAGGTTGCTGGGAAACCTGCTTGGATCCATCATTCCTACTTTAAGCTGGTCCCAGTCTCTGAAAATGACAAGCCTACAGATAACTGGACTGCTAAGCCCTTTAAAACTTAAGATTGCCAAACGTACGTAATAGTCTTGTTCCTTTGCATTCTTCCTTACGGAAAACCCAGGGGTACATCTCAAAACCCTCAATATGGAACTTGGAAAATCACTGATTACATCACTGGTGAGGTGTTGGCAACCAACACCACCATCCATGGTGGTGTTTCATAGATTTATGTATGTTATTAAATAGGGCCCCAAACCCACTAAATATTGTACAAAAGACAGCCCTAATCCAAGAACCACAGACGGAAAAAATACCATTGTGGAAACCTAGAAAACCAAAGCAAATTACAATACATTGGCTGGTATCTCTGCCCCCAAAAACAACTGCCAGCTACTTATGTTGGAACTGGGGTGTTTAGAGATTATCACACTGAGAGGTGCTCACAGTCCATGGAGACAGAATATTTTTGGAGATACTGAGGTTGTGAGTCTATATGTCCTTGGTGGGGAAACAAAGAAGACTGCCACCTTTTCCTCATCCGGGAGACCCCGTCTTCCTGCACCCTCAATAAATGTAACCTTATGACTTTCAGATGCAAAACCCCAACTGACTCTGTTTGGAAAGTGGGATTCATTATGGTATTAGGTTATGGGTCTCTGGATATAACCCTGGGAACACCTTTACCATCCAGTTTGTTCCTGGGCCTATCTGGACAGCCCCTGATAGGCCCATAGGCCCACAATCTCCCCAACCACCTCAGCTTCCTCTCACTTACACACCTTCCTTCCTCTCCCTCTGATATCCCCGCTCCTTCCCCCAAAGCCACCAACCCCTTGCTATCTGTCACTCTTGTACCAACCCTGAATCCTTTTCTACCTTTAGACATTGCTTACTAGTTTCTCAATCTTAGTGCCCCAAACCTCATTATTGACTGCCCATCTCAACCACCGTTCTATATGGACACCCCTGTGACTGTTATGATAAATCAGGTTTCAAACTCCTATGCAGATGACCCCACTTTGTTGGTGGAGTGCTAGACCCTTGCTCATGCTGGACAATGTACAGGGTACACCAGGAACTTGTGTTTACTCTGCCTCCTACCTCTTGTGCACTTCTCCTTATGCCACAGTCTGTAATCTAACCTCTTCATCCCTGATTTATAATCTCCCTTATCCTGCTAATCAGCACCTTGTTGCTCCCAACAGAATCTGGTTCACCTGCACTTCTGGTATAACTCCTTGTTCCATGCATCACCTGTTTACCCAGCACCCTGAGTTTTGACTATTGGTTCATGTCTTTCCTCAAGTGTATTGATACTCTGGAGAAAATGGTAGAAGTCATTTTTTTTTTCCTAGCTTAAATCAAAGGAGCTCTGTCTGATTAAAGAGAAATCCTATGTTATACCAATAATTATGGGGAATTGGGATGGCAGGGTCAATATGTGTCCAGCCTAGTAATTGGTGACCAAAATTATACCTGAGTATAATTGAGTGCACTTATCAACCAAGATCTAGCCACTTTCAATGACTTTGTCTCTAAGCTGGAAGATTCCTTGAGCTCCCTGGCTGAGATGGTTTTATAAAACTGATGCATATTAGATCTCCGGTTCTTGAAAGAGGGAGGTGTCTGTTTGGCTTTAGGAGAAAACTGCTGCGTATAAGCCGAGCATTCTGGGTTCATCAGACAGAACATGGCAAGCCTTAAAAAGTGATTGCAAGAAAGAGAACAAGAAAGGCAGGCCAAAAAAAAAAAAACTGGTTTGAGCATTGTTTCTCTTTTTCCCCTTCATTAAAAACTCTTATAGCAGCAGTTGCAGTGCCTCTGTTAGTCCTTCTGGTCTGTGTAACTATTGGGCCTTGCATTATAAACAAATTAGTAAACTATGTCAAATACTGAATTCAAAATGTTATGATTTTAAGGACACAGGATATGAACAAATGCCCTTGTCTAAAGTTCCTTTCCATGAGCCAATGATTTGACTCACTGATTAAAATCAATGGGGAATGTTGTAACCTAACTAAAAGTGTTGCCATCCTGTTCTTTAAGCCTGGTTACCATGACCTGTGTTCAACTCTTGTTTCTTTTGAATTAACCCCCTTCTAGAACAGCAGTTTGGTCCCAGAACCAACTGACCCCTGATTGTACAACATTTGATGACCACCAATTGTAAAACATATGGTCCCAGGAATGACTGACTCTTGATTGTAAAATGTTTGCAGAGATTAACTCCCTTTTTGTATAAGCTCCCTCCCTTTTCTCTTCCTTGTGGTTTTACCTTACATAACACCCCACCCGCTAACCTAACCTGGTTACACAGCTCTGCAGATTCCAATGCAGGCTATGTTGCTGGGTGCCAGCTAAAATTATGCTCTTCTTTTTAAAAAACGTCTTGCCCCACTTTTTAAACAACATCTTGCAGTCTTGTTTTGGGGTAAAATAATACTCAATGGAAAAACTTTTACTCACATGGAAAGCAAGGTGTAACTGCGTATCATAACTGGGTTATCTTATCATCTGGGTTTTCTGAGAAACTAGTGTAGCATACCATCTGGGTTTTCTGAGAAACAAGTAAAGAAAATGTATTAAACATACATAAACATTTTGGTTTGGAGGAGTACTGGGGATCAAACCATGTGCTTGCAAGGCAGGTACTTATACCACTAGGCTATATCCCCAGCAAAGTTTTGAAAATACAAAAATCTTGCAAAAAATTCAACCATTTCTCAGAAACAGAGTACTCCTTTGTGCTGAGCTCAAGACTGAGCATACACATCTGCTGACCACATGCTAGTATTTTGAAGGCCTTAATTTGAAACCTACTTGTAAAAAGCAATTTACTTTAACAATAAAACATGGGTGTTAAAATATTTTATATTTACTTCAATAAGCAAGTTGAGTTATAGAATCATGGCACAGACAGAAATAAATCTTCATTAAAATGTACTGAAAAGTAAAAAGTAGTTATTTGCTAACAAAGAGAAAAGAATATGCTTGAGTTCTCACTCACCTGCTATTTGAAAACGAAACAAAAACCTTGATGATTTAGAGAATTTGTGGATTAGGATCCTTTTTTAAATAATATAAATTTATTTAACTGAAACATATTATATGAGTAGTCTAAGCAATTTTAGCCATCCAATAGTTAAACTTCTAAATGATGTTGATGCATCTTTCATTTCCTGTATGTTCACTTAAAGATTTAATTTATTTCTGAAAAGTATACTCTTTGTTGATGACTGATGTGCTTTTGAGGTGGTGTGGGAAGAACTGAAGAAAAAACCCAGGCTTTTCAACTAACCTACATCCTAGCTCTTTTAAAACTGCATTCATATTTTCTTTTGAGGTAAGATCTATCACTAACTACTGTTGTCCAGACAAGCTCACGCTTCAGATATTGTCTCAGTCTCCTATACTGTGGGAATCAAAGCCATGTGCTACCACACATACCTAAAATTTTTGTTTAAAGAAGTTTGCCTTCACTTTGTGATCTTTGGAAACATTTACATGAAATTTCTTAAGCATTAACATTACAAATATCTAGATTGATTTAGCATTTCTTTTAACCAAAAATTGCAGTTTTTTAAATGAAATTATACATAGGTGACTAATACCCTGAGGGTTTTAATACTCCAAAATAATATTAAACTGTAAAATATTTCAACATCTTTAGTCTAGCATGCCAAAGTATGTAAAAACCATTTTAAAAAATATATTTCATTAATGTAACCATCAGCATTTCAGCACATTGGATTGTAAACTTTCCTGTTATAAATTTATATAACTTCCACATCGGATTTTATAATTCTTCAGTAAAGTTTTCTGGAAAACTCTTAGAACAAGGGATAGGGTAATGATACAGATCAAAAGCTTTATAAAGTAGAGGTAGAAAAGCCAAGTATTATTAAATTAAGTTATGTGGTTAAAAAAATGTTACTCATATGAAACAAAAGCTTTCATAGAATTTGTTAAAAATTCACTGGAAACAAATTATTTAATACTATCATTGCAACCCTCTCTCACTATGTTGTACAATTAGAGAAGTATGGAATTTCTATGTCATCTAACTTAATAAATAAATGTATCTGTTCTCTTAACATAGAAATCAACAATTTGAATCTCTTTCACAAAATAACCAAATACAATTAACAAGACTCATTAAATTTATAAAATGTTCTCTTTAAAGCCTTATCTTTACCCAGTATTTTGCTTTGTACTATTTTATATTTGCAGTAGTTATTTACTGGCTACAATCACAATAATTGCAACTTAGTAAGTGAAACCAAACAACATTTACTTTAAAAATAAGCATACTTTTTTGTAAGCAATACTTCATACTAGGCACCTCAAAAACTACTGTAGATATAAAAATTCAAGCTTTGTATTTTTCGTATACAATTATATACTGAAGTTTCTATATATTGTACATAGGTATGTACACACATAAAATACATATATTCATTAGATTTGAAAAGTAACAAAAACTGGGTCTTTACAGAAGTTTTTTAAAACTGAAACAGTGGAAAACCCTTTAAACATTAAAAAGTTTTAATAAATGTTTCTGTACAATTCTAAACAGATTTATGTATACATACAAAATGTAACAGGAGTAGTGCTTAAAATTACAGAACTCCTTAGTATTTAACGACAAGTAAGTTTGGATAAAACAATATTCAATTCACAAATATTCTCAAGCAATAAATATGCATTTATAAATAGTTCAAATCTGTATCAATATTATAAACAAAAATCACAAATTGGAAGTTTATTTTTTATGCGTAATCTTTTTTGCAACTTGGTTATTAATTCTCTTAATTTATTTCAGAACCACAAGTGTAACCATCATAACCTTGAAATAGTACAGAAAAACTAAAAAACTGTCTCACCTCATTTTTCACATAAAAAAAAAAAAGTTGGTCAGGAAAAAAAAAATTTTTTTAACGACTGAAATTTGTTAACCATCTTACAAAGAATTGCCAGATAGCAAGTAATATTTTCCCCAAGAAAATTCTGAAAGACTAAAATACAGATGAAAATTAATCCATTTGCCTGGAAATTAGAAAACAAAAACAGGAAAAAAAAAATGAGAGGATGAGAAAGAGGCTCATCTTCAAGTGAGTCTAGGTAACACTGACATTTTGTCAGCTCTACACATAACATTATTATTTTTTAAGATACAGAGGGGACAGCTTTTTTAATACTAGTGTAGAGGAAACATCCTCTCTGTCCAGTTACCTGACCCTCTGTTTTTATAAACTTGCATAGACATAGCTTTGAGTCAGCAGTTTTATGAAACAGCTACAAAACCAGTGATACAGATATTTCCTGGAGCAGAAAGGTCTTGATGTTCATGGAACAGTATTAAGAAGAGGAGGTTGATAATGATGGAGCCTAAAAATAAAAATAAAGTACATAAATTATTTTGTTATTTATAAAGCCTAAAGAATATCTTATTGTGCTTGGTTACAAACAAGTAATTTATGAAATTTATGAAACACATTTGCTAATAAACTCTGAATTTCAACAGACTATTCTTATTGTCTAACTGGAACCAGTTTCTTGAGATTCTATACCACTCTCTTCATAATTTTTCTGTACATCAAGACCTACATCACAATTTTCAGAATACTACTATATTGACTTGGGCAGGGTGACAATGGAAAATGAACCCAGAGTCTTGTGCAAGAGGTGAGTAAGTTAGAGACCTACCCCATTTTTAGATTAGCGTGTGTGTGCACGCGCACATGCGCTAAGATCTCTTTAACTTTTCAGTCTGTTCCCAAACTTGCAGTCTTTCACTGTGGCTTGACAACTCGTTAAGATAACTTAGTGGGAAACAAAAGCATGGTAGGAAACAAAAATATAGTGGGAAACAAAAGTATAGTAGGAAAATAACTAAAAAACTTAAGTAACATTTCATTAGTAATTATTAATATATTACGTATTTTACATAGTCCACTGATGTTACTTCTTTACACAAGAGAACTATTTGATACCAGTTATTATGAACTAAATTTTCAGAGCAAAATATCCTAGAATAATACTAGCAACAACTTACAATTATTGCATATTCCATTTATAATTCCAGTGAAAGCCAAAAGTCACTGCTGGCCCAAAGAATCTGTGTTTGGAGTTTATTGAAAAAAAAAAAAGCCATGCCACTCATGATGGTACATGCCTGTAATCCAAATATTTGGGAGGCTGATGTAGGAGGATAACTGCAACTTTGAGGCCAGTCCAAGCTACAAAGTTAGTTCAAGAGCAGTTGAACTTCATAGTGAAATCCTGTCTCCCAAAAACAGCAAAATACCCCAACAAACAAGTACACAAATGCATTTATGAGACAAATTATTCTTAAAAATTTACATGAATTTTACACTCTTAATACAGCTCTCTTAGACAGTCCATTTCATGAATACTTATAGGACAGATTATATTTTAAACAAATATATTAACGTGGAAAAAGCAAACATTTTAAAACACAGATCCAGATCCATTTTTTTCTAACTATGTAATTATATATTTGTTATTAGCAAATTAAACAGTCATTTTACTGAAAAATGTTTTATCAGCCAGGCTAAATAACAGAAAGATCACTGTGACATTGTAAAAGTTAACTAAGATTTTGCAATGCAATTATTGTAACTACTAGTTAAAGACATTCTCATTCAGTGGGGAAAATGGTAACATTTAGCAGCTTCAAGTTCTACTGAGTAGTGCAAAATTTAAATGTATAGTTGAATTGAATTTAAAAAGTAGCAAGAAGAAAAACAAATACTGCCACTTCACAATTCAGATGACATTATTATACTCACATGCCAAATTTACTTACCAATGTAAACTGGTCATAGACTTGCATCAGATCCTCCATTTTATATTGTTCTAGCACCACAAAATTTTCCAAATTTCCACTTGTTTTTTGTGCACAATCTTGGCAATGTACTATGTAGGTCTTTTGTGAACTGCTTTCACTAGTGACAAAAAGCAGATTAAATACCTCCACCTAATGACATAAAAGAGAAAAAAGCAATCAATAAAGATAAGACTGGTACTTGACTATTCAGAAATTCCTCAAATTTCACCCTTTAAATATTTTGATTACAAAAGTTTATTTACTAATCACTGTTCCAATTAGAATGTGCCTGTGCCACTGGCCTTCAGACTTACTACTCTTTTCAGCCAAAAACAATTTAATACTCCTCATTTTTGATACTAGTTGAGCCCATCAGAACTAATTAGCAAAGATATCCTTATTAGGTTAATCTATATAGCTAGTGAAATATTTTATCCTCAGATGAGAATCAGTATAATAGCTGATTTCAATTTTAAAAAAGGTGACATAAAAGTATACATAAATTTATAACATTGAAAGTGAGAGAAGGAAAAACTTAGGAAAATCCAAAACAAATACAATTATCTGTAAGAACAGATACCTCACAGATACTGCAATAATGAGCAGGTTCATTGTTTGACCGTTCATGCCATATAACATCTTTTCCTGCTGCAATAAGAGCTTCTCTTAATGTCTGACAATGCTTTAGAATTTTCAGAAGACAATACCTATTTAGTGGTAGAAATTTCAGACAATTAAATACTGAATATTAAAACAATACACAAATTAAATTATGTATCACATATAACTTAAATCTAAGTTTGAAAGTATTCATATAATTTTTTCATTTATCACGTAATAGGCTAACAATATGAAAGATCAAAGTTAAGATAACTCACATTTTAATATATAATACAACAAACTCATACAAAAACATAATCCTAATTTTTGTTCTAATATAGCAAAAGGGAAAACTTTTGTAGGAGTAAACTGATTCATCTCTGAAAGAAAGGGTTTGAATTTCAGGTTTAAACTACTATGATTATAGAAGGGTAAGCCCTGAGGAACAGTATTACTTATATAATCAATTACAAAATTATTATGTTAGTCATTAAAGACACAGCAAAATTAATTTAATTACAGTATCAAAGAAAATGTTGTGCTAAAAAAAGCTAAAAGGCAAAGTTAAAAAGATTATTATTAGCAAAAAAAGAGCTTTGTCATTCTGTGCTATGCTTATCACCCTAGTAACCATGTAACTGGAGCACCAACCACATAGTTTAAAATTAACTGAAGCATCACCATGCTGTTCTATATGTGTCGTCACGTTAGTAACCTGTTTGCTGTGTAACCTATGTTCCCTTTAGAGAGACAAATGATGCTGTGTCAAACTTTTTTCCTTTTGTGAGAAATAAATGTTCCTGAAATTAGCAGCCCAATGGTTGTAAATTAAGAAAAAAAAGAGCTATCCACCAACTACGAAACGTCTCTGACCCCAAGCAAAGGGGAACAAAGGCCTTCTCCATTCTTGCTCTCATCACATCACTCTTTACCTTGCAGTTTAACTGCTATAAAAGTATGTCAGAATTCTAACCCAGTTACACAGCTTTGCAAACTCCATCTGCACTGTGTTGCTAGTGTCAGCTTAAATAAAAGCACTCTTTTTCTTTATAAAAAAAAAAAAAAAGACATGTTGCCCTGTTTGGTTTTTTTTTTTTAATAACATTTTGGGGCCTTGTTTTGGGGGTACAACAGAAAAACCATTATTTATTTCATCTGGAAATAGTAATCCTTCACTTGTATTAACAGAACTGTTATACATTATATCTTTCCCATATACTTTTACTAACAATACAGTGAATCCTCAAAAATAATGCTCCTTTTCCTATAATTTGCCATCATAACTTAGTTTCTGCACATCAAAGTGGCTTAGAACAAAGCTAAAGCAGGTAACTTGTAAGGTACTTCAGCTCTGAACTTACACTGAAAAGGTGGAAATGAGTTTAATGAAAGTGCTGTTAACAGTATTGCTGAACATATAATTTTCCTAGGTCAAAATTAGAATAAAATAAAAATTAAAAAGAAAGTGTGTGGCCAAGGATTTAGCTCAGCAGTGTATAAGTGCCTGCCTAGCAAGCACAAGGTCATGAGTTCAATTCCCAGTACCAAAAAAAAAAAAAAAAAAGACAAAGAAAGAAAGAAAGTGTACAATAGTTGCTACTTCTTGCTCACCAGGTTCAATCAGCAGGTTGTCATTAATGTAACAAATCATTATCTCATGATCATATGATCATAGTATGATTATACAGTACAATCATAAAACTTGTTAATTTCTTGATAGTTAATTCTGTTTAATCTATTCTGAAGATATAGTCAGCTAACTGCACTACATTCCCAGCTCCCAAAATAATCAAGATAGTTGGACTCTGGATCTGTGACAAACTCTTATAGTCAACCATGCTCAAAATACAACACATGGAAAGCTATCACATGTTTACAATAGTAACTAACTCTTTTGACAGTAAGTAACCACAAAGATCAACATAAAATAAAACAAACAAAACAACAGAAACATGACAAGGCAACAAAAAACCTCCCTAAATTCCCAGCTCCACCAATCCAATCTAGGACACTGCTAGGATCACAATATATTAGACATGCAAGTGAGTTACTTGAAAAAATAATAGAAAAAGTCAAGAAACAGATGAAAGACATGGTGCAAATAGAGAAGATATAACTAAGCAAAAAAGGAACAACCAACCAAAGAGATACAAAAATGTTCAGAAGACACTAATGAAATATGAAGTGAGCTAAACAAAATAATGTAACACATAAATGACCAGTACACCAAAGAATGAGAGGTCATGAAAACACATCAATCAAAAATTTAGGAGATTAAAAATCATATTAAACTTATGTGTGCAGCAGGTCAATTAATGTGAGGACAGAATTTTATAACTAGGAAAACTGATGCATTTAAAAATCAAAGACAAGATATCAAGAGAACAAAAGAATGAGTCAAACAGTGATAGATAAAGACTAACCTAGAGGTAACTGGAATAAGTGAAAAGTTAAAAGTCAACATAAATGTATATAAAATTTGGTGGGGATCACTACAAAGCAGCTCTAAGCAGGATATAAAATTAACTAATTGGCTTTCTATGTTTATATACAAGTCTGTCCTAGGCCTCAGCCCCTTGTCTGGTGACAGGAGCTGATTCATAGTAAGTGAATCTCTATGAATCATTGGTCCTGACTGAGGCCAAAAAATGGTCTGTGAGGCCAGAGATACCTCAAAGGGCAACATAAGGCCACAGCTATGGACATTTGGCTCAAACATCAATTAAGTAGATAGAGACTGCAGCTGCAGAAATTACTCCTATAGTCTCATCCCTACCATATCTTCATGATAAAATGGTTCTCCTAAATTGATGTTGTTTATTACTTGGAGAAGTTCTCAAAGTGACTCCTGAGGTCCTGCTCATTGTCTACACTTTCCTCAGTTTCCCCGCTCTTTGTTTTGGACCTAATAAAGGTGGGTGGTTTAAAAGTCTTTGATTTAGCCCTCAGTATCTCAAATTCAGCTAACAGGTTTTGACACTCCTGGAGCCCCGAAACCATACTACTTGTCTCATTTTATTTAAGTCTTCGCTATATACTCATTTGAGAGATTAGAGATCTAGGTCAGGACCCAATAAAAACTATTCATGATAATGGCAGAAAACATGCCAAAGAGAGGTAAAGAAATGCATTATCATATAAGTGAGGCATATAAATCCCAAGGAGTCATACAAAAAAGAACTTCTTTATGTCACATTACATGCAAAGTTCCAAAAATCCATCACAGGGACAAAAGTGTAAAAGCTGTTAAAGACAGGCAACAGGGCCTAGAGATTTAACTCAGCAGCATACGCACCTGCCTGTAAGTGTAAGGTTGTAAGTTTGATCCTCAATACAAAAAAAAAAAAAATCACTATTAAAAAGGGCTGGAGATTTAGCTCAGCAGCATAAGTGCCTGCGAGTTCCATCCCCAGCACAAAAAAAAAAAAAAAAAGCAGGCAACAAATATTGCATAAAGGTAAACCCATTAGAGTTATAACAGATATAAATACACAAACCTTTAAGGCTAAAAGGGCTCAGAATGTAGTGTTTCAAGTCTTATAGGATAACCCTGACTTACGTATCCTACAAAACTACTTTAAATCAAATGAAGAAATAACAGTTATTCCACCACCATCAAACTAGCATTACAAAAAATTCTCCAGTGTGTCTTGCAGAAGAGACAATGAAGCAAACAGTGTCAATAACTCAGGAGGGGGGGGCAAAATAAAATAAAGGATACACCTGGATAAATGAGCTACAAACAAAATACAAAAAATAAGAAAATCAAGAACAAGAAAATAATAGTGACAGGAAAACTTTCAGTTAAAAACTCTCAATGTGAATGGCCTCAATACTCTGTCAAAAGACACAGCTTGGCACAAGGATTCAGGAAGAAAACCCAACAAGAAACATTTAATTTAAAAAGATACAGAGTTAAATCAAAAGTTAGAAAACAATGTATCATGGAATGGAAAATGGGTAAACAGTAAGAATTACTGTCCTAATTTCAGACAAACTGGACTTCAAGCTAAAACTGATGAGAGGATCTAAAGAAGATCACTACATATTGATTAGGGAATAACTGACAGAGTTAATAATTACAAGCACATATACATCAAAGCATTCTCTCTTCATAAAACAAATAATAATGACCATGCAAAATTAAACAGACACCAACACAATTGTAATGAGGTACATCAACATCTTACTGTCACAGATGGATAGGTCAAGTACCTAAAATCAAAAAAGAAAGTAGAACCAGACCTGTAAACCAACACACTTAGTAGATATCTATACACATCTTTCTGAACAGCACATGGGCCTTTGCTCTGGTCTCCGGGTGCAGCTGCTCAAGTTACCTGCATGGTGCTGTCTCCACACTGTCCGGTTCGGACCACTCCGCAGGCTCCTGACCACCGACCGCCTAGTCCCTTACGCGCACCTCAGAGTTCTCATCCCATGAGCCCGTTTTGGCCACGCCAGCCCCTACTTCTCAGCTCCTCTCCCTCCAGCCAGCCAAGGCTGGCCCCTTCTGCTCCTCACTGCCCTGATGGCTATATTGACCTTTGGGCCTCCATAAAAGGAGGACAGAGGCTACATCTTGAAGAGCTCCAGCTACCTTCTGAGCCCTCATGCCATAGGCAACTACAGATCCCTTAGTGACAAGTACAGTCTCATTGGCAAGCCAGAACCCCGTGACGTGCAGACAATAAGAGGTGACGTGCAGACCAGAAGGTTTGAGAGATTACTGCCTGAAAACATTGTGCACACCAAAATTGAGTGTCTGCACCTGAGAGAGGCCACTGAATTCCTAGGCAGCTGCGGGGCATCCCCTCAGAGGACTCCTAAGAACATGGCTCAGTCCTAAATTTATGCCTTGCCCAGTGTTGTCTACTGTTCTGTGATTTAAAGTCATATTAAGATGAGGATAAATTTATGCCAAATTCTGTAAATAAATCTGTTCTTTGCTTTGATGCTGTGTTACAACTTCAAGTTTTCTTTTTTGTGATTATTTTAAGTGACAAAATAGAATATAGCTACAAAAGCCAAGGATTTAGCTCAATAGCATAAGCAACTGTCTGGCAATCTCCAGATCCTGAGTTCAGTCCTCATTATCACCACCCCC